TCGCCGAGGAAGGTAAAGTTCTTTGCAGAGAGAATTTTTAGGCACAGGAGAATTCGAAATTGCAATGGTGGAAAAAGTCCAAAAATTGGCGAAGTGCTGAATTTATATTTGGGAAGGCTAAAGGGGTGAGAAGACGATGACCGTTAGATTAAAGGAAAATCGTGCGGTGATAAGCATTAAATGGCACGGTACTCAAGGCTGGCGCGTTATGCGAAGAGGTGTCATCATTAAAACGCCTGACACATGCAGCAGACACGACGCGTGACAGAAAAGCAGGTGCGACAAAAAGGACTTGAAACAAACGACTTTATTTCTAGCAATTAATGGGGAATTATTTGAAAACATGAGCGAGAAATTTATCAGCTGGTCGATATCTGATGACGAGCCATCCAGGAGGTCGATAAATGCGAATTCACTCTTAGATCGAGTCATTCAGACTCGACCAGAGTGGGGGGAGGACTAGATGATATGGGATATTATATACACAAGGCTAAACCGGTCCGCCGAACCGGTTTAGAGGGTCATACCATGAAGGAATCGAGCCAGGCGAGGAGAAGACCGAGCAAAATAACTTGTCGACCAGTCAAACAGTCGACCAACTCATCGCTAAACCAAACAATCGATCAAGCAATCCTATCGACCTCAGCAGGTCGAACATCTCGCGGACTCAACGCTCAATAGATCGGCCTAGTCACAGGCGCGTGTAAGAGCTTCCAGCTGAATTCCAAGAGAATATTTACCCCATGTGCAGGAGGACACGTGTTGAGAATGTATTGGGAAATAGCGATAACCACCTCTGACAGCTCCCAACGCCTTGCACCACCTCTGACATGTGCGCGGCGTGTTAGAGTACGGACGGGCAGCTTGGGCAGCCAACTCATCCTTATCCGGGCAGCTATTAGGGCAGGTATCTCACCCCTATATAAAGGGGGTGAGACTTTTTCCCTAAAACACATTCTATTCATTCTTCACTTCAGTATACTCATACACATACTGACTTAAGCATCGGAGGCTCTTCACCGGACACAACCCCCAGTGTGAGAGTTACTTGCAGGTTTCCGGCGTTCTACCGGCGAGGACAAAGATCGATCCGCTCCAAACCGGACCAGGACGCTTACACTTGCATTAATATATATATATA